AGCTGGTTGCAGCTATAGGGACAGGCAGGGATGCTGGCCATTATGCCATCTCCATGTCTTGGTTCCCAGGTGAGGGTGACATCTCCTTCCCACCCACGTACCGGTACGAGCGGGGCTCCCGGGACAGCTACATGTGGCAGAAGTTCAAGCCCACGGGGGTGAGTTCCCGGAGTCTTCTGCTGAGCTGTAGGACATCACCGGGGTATGGGGACCCCAGGCTCAGACGGTGCTGGGGGGGTGCTGCTTTGCGGTGGTCAGCCCTCATGCATCTCCCAGCTCGTTCCTCCCCCTCAAAAGTGGGTCTGGCCAGGAGGGAGCTCACTTTTTGGGCTGCTGGGGTGCTTTTCTGGGCTGGGAGGAGTCAGACTTGAGGGGTTACTGAAGGCAGACGCTTTCTGCATTTTTTAGGTGAGGATCAACGTCCCCTCATGGTGTGACCGCATCCTGTGGAAGTCACACCCAGAGACCCATGTGGTCTGTAACTCCTACGGTGAGTGAGACCCTGGGACTGGGGGGAGCCCGGGGTGGCCAGTGCTGCCCAGGTCCCCAGGGCTTGGGGTCTGTCACCCAGTTGCCCCCTCCCTCCTTCCCTCCAGGCTGCACCGACGACATCGTAACCAGTGACCACTCTCCCGTCTTTGCCACCTTCGAGGTGGGAGTAACATCGCAGTTTGTGCCCAAGAAGGGTAAGGAGCTGGAGTTTGTCACCTCCCCGCCTGGTTTGGGGTAAGCCCTGGGTACGGCTGCTTGGCTGGCACATGCCAACCTGGCCAGTACTTGCCTGCAGCCCCCGGATCTGACCCCGAGCCCCTGGCCTGCATCGAGTGGGAGAGCATCGAGGTGATCGTCAAAACCGCCAGCCGCAGCAAGTGCTACATCGAGTTTCACTCCTACTGCCTGGAGGGTGAGGTGGCCCCTGGGTGCTGGCTGGGGGTGCCACGGGGGTGAGCTAGCCCCAGCTCATGCCCCAAGCCACCCCAAGCCCTGGCTAGAGCTGTGCTCCCCTCCTCTCCCCTGGCAGAAGCCCAGCGGAGCGGGGAGAACACCTCCCAGAGCTGCGACGTCCCTGGCTTCCTCAGGTTGGGCTGGTCGGCAAAGCAGCTACCTGTGGTAGGCACTGGGCAAGGGGGGCAGCCACTGACCTCCCCTCAGCCCTCGAGCATCCTTCTTCCTCTTCCTCATCCCTCAAGCATCCTTCTTCCTCTTCCTCATCCCTCCCACCGGCTTATTCTTCTTCCCCATCCTTCCCACTGGCTTATTCTTCTTCCCCATCCCTCCCGCTGGCTCTCTACCCTCAGCTCCAAGGGGTGCCAGAGGCTGTCACCGTCACCCTCCAGAGCCACCCCTGTGCCACCCTGCCCTGCAGCATGCCCCCCAACTCCCGAGCACCCCTCTTTCCATGTGCAGCTGAACCCCATCCTGCCGGACCTGGAGTACCTGGGGGACCAGCACCTGCTCCTCAGCATCAAGGGTGTGGAGAGCTGCGAGTCCTACGGTGCGTGTGGGATGGTGGCCCTGGGGGCCACCATGGTGGCATGAGGGGGGGTGCCAAGCATAGCTCCAGCAGGGCACAGGTAACAGCCTGCTGGGTGTAAGGTTTTGCAGCTGGATCTTGGCAGAAGGGACCCTGCCACCCACAAAGGGCTCACCTGCCCCCTGAGCTGCCCAGGGAGGGGGTAACACCAGTGTGTGCCATGCCCGCAGGTGAGTGCTGCATCGCCATGAGGTCGATGATCGGCAGCATGGCCCAGCAGTTTGAGACCTTCCTCTTCCACCGTGGTGAGGAGACGGGCTCCATGCGTGGCTGGATGAAGGTCCGGGTCCCCAAGGACAGGCGCAGCACCCGCGAGAGGCTCTATGGTACCGTGGCCAGGACAGCCCCTCTCCCATCGCCTGGGACGTGGGGCCACGCTCGGGCACGGTGTGGCCTGTGCCCCGTGGGGAGACACCTGACCTCAGTGCCTTTGCAGAGTGGATCAGCTTCGAGGAGGAGGACACCGAGCCGGTGGCCGATACCCCAACATGCCCCAAGCCACCCCTGCAGCCCCTCAGGTACCCCAGCTGGGCTCTGCCCCACCATGAGCCCCGGCCGTGGGGTGATGCTGAGCCCTCACCCCCCCGTGCTTTGCAGGACCCGACCCCGCAGCCTTCCGGAGCCGGCCTCCAGCTACACCAACCCAGCCTACTTCATCTTCGAGGGGGTCCCCAACACGTGGGTCCCAGCCCCCTGTGCTGGTGAAGCCCATGACAAGCAGGCAGAGAGCCCATCTGGGGGCCAGCAGTGCCGGAGCCCCCTTGGGGCACGGGTCCCTTCGCCCTCAGAGGAAGAGCGGTGGGGTGGCCGGCGTCGCTGTGTGCCAGGGGGGACATCCCATGGGCAAACACGCAGCCCCCCCGGTGTGGGCCAGCAGAAGAGACCCAAATCAGCCATCCTGGCAAGGGACACACCGGGGCTGGGTGACTGCTCACTGACGGCGCTGCAGATGGCCACCTGCCTGAGCCAGCTGGACTGGGCATCCTCTGAGCACAGAGGGGACAACCAGAAGACCCTGCTGTGCCAGACCCACAGCACCCTGGAGCCACCCCCATGGCCCTACCGGGAGGTGCCAAGGGGCACGTTTGATACTCACCATCACGGCCACCCTGGAGAGGTACTTCCGTGGGGTGCTGGAGCTCAGCTGAGGGATTTGGGGAGCTCAAGGAGTGAGGGGACCTGCTTTGGGCTGTGGGGTCACCAACAGAGGTGAGGTCCCATCCCCACGGCAGTGCTCTGCCTGGTGAAGCCACCACAGCACAGGCAGTGGGATACGGTGGGAAGTGGAGGAGCAATAACACGTGCGGTTCATGTGGGGTGAAGATGGAGAACTTCATGGTCCTGATGTGACGCTGCCGGTGTATGTCCTTGTTCTTCTTTCCCCAGTGGCCCTGTGACAGGGACGAGTGGTCCCATGGCGTTGGCAGGTGCCCAGGCCACCTTGGCTTGCAGCAGGACAAGGAAAGGCTGCAGGAGCACGGCTGGAACCACCTGGAGTTCTTCAGGTACCCCCAGGCACTGGAGCTCGGAAAGGGAGGCACCACGCGGGCCAGCTCCTGTAGCCCTGGGGTTCCTGGCAGAGCTCCACACCCCGGGGGTGAGGAGAGGTGAGCCTCGGGTGCGTGGGGGGAAATGTGGTGGGGCAGGAGGATACCAAGACCCTACATCTCCATGGATGCCCTGGGGTCATGCGGGCTCCCTGCTCCCTCTTGGTGGCTCCCCTTGCCCTGTGCATAGACATGTCACAGAGCGGGACCTGCTGGAGGCTGGGGTGCTCAGCCCAACCCCTCCCCAGCTCATCTATGGCAAACTTGGTGAGGACACCACGGTGAGCCTGCCACAGAGACCTGACCTTGGACCCAGCACCTAGAGCACCTATCCCTGCTCCAGCACCCACGTGTGCTCTCCTCTGTGGAGCTCCTGGGGCAGACAGAGCTACTGAGGAACTCACGCAGGGCTGGACCGCTTGACCACGCTCCCAACTCGTCTGACCTCACCAGCAAGCAGTTGGAAAGCCTCAGGAAGTTCCTGTGGCCATTGGGATGGACACTTTCCAGGTCTCGCTGCCTGGAAAGGTCCTCCCTCCCCAAAGCAATGAAAGGACCATGCCGAGCCCCACCAGCAAGGAGGGATGGGGGACACAGGAGACGTTCAGGCCACTTGGGAAGTGAGGACCACTGGGTGCTTTGGACCACAAGGCTCAGCCTCTTCAGGCAGCCGACTTGCAGCCTGCAAGGGCACAGCGGTGTCTGTGCCCAGCCCCACAGACCCTCGTGCCTTCGGCCTCGGCAGCTGCTCCTTCCTCCCTGGGCTCAGCCCTGGTCGGATGGACTTCCTAGAGGACTTCTCCTACAGCTCCTGAGGCTGCAGCACCATCTCCTTACGAGGTGCCCCTTGCTGTCTCCAGCCAGAATAAAGTCTCAGGGACAATGCGGGGATTGTGTGTGTGCAACACCTGGTTCTGTACCGGGGCAAGGAGGGGGTGTGCTGAGACGAGCAGGACCCCCACAAACCCCCAACCCTTGGTGGGTGCTTGTTCCGCCCCCCCCCGCCCCCGAAAATGCCATCTCTGCCCCCTCAGCCCTGCACACCCGCAGTCCCCTGTGCTCTCCCTCTGTAGCCAAACATCCCCTTGCTGCCCCCTGCTCTCATCCACGGTCCCCCACATCCCAAGGTGCACCCGTTGGCCCCCCCAGCGTGCCCCCTTCACCGTGACAGTGACATGTTTGCACAGCACCCACCCTTCGCCCACCTGGATGCTCGCAAAAGGGTTAAATCCCCTGGACCAGGCACAGCTCTGCAGGGGGGGGTGGGGGACACGGTCCCCCCAAAACGTGGGACTCAGCAGGGCCCTAGCTCCCGTGACACCCAAGGTGGCCCCAATTTTGGGGACATTATGCCCAGGCTGGCCTCAAGGTGGCAGTGGCCACCTTTGTCCCCAGGAGTGCCCCAGCAGAGCTGGGGGGCCAGCAGGGCAGCACCCTGGGGTGCGGGCACTGACGGGACCCCCATGGTCCCAGTGGGGCAAGGGGGCTGCCCTGGGGTGGGCGAGGGGCTGTGGTCCCCATGGGCAGGGGGCTGCTATGCCCACGGATGAGGGGTTATGGCCCCTGGGGAAGAGGGACACCGTGGTCCCCATAAGTGAGGGGCCGTGGTCCTGATGAAGGAGGGACGGTGGTCCCCATGGCCAAGGGTGCTTGGCCCCCATGGGGAAAGGGCTGTGACCCACGGGTGAAGCCCAGACGTTCCTTGTCTTTGGGGCTGCTGTGGGGGCTGCGGGTGGCCCAAAGCCTCTGAGGGTGATGGACAGGATGGGAAGGCAGCTGGGGCTGAGCCCCACAGGCAGCTCCTGGGGCAGGCAGGGACACAGGGACGCTACAGGCAGGGACACTACGGGCTCCTGCCCCCGCCTCTGCCCGCCTCCAGCCCTGCCTCTCCCGGGCACTTTGCTCCCAGCCTTGGGAGAGCGGGCACAGACGGCACAGCACGGTGAAAGGTAGCCCGCAGCCCCACCAGCATGGCCCCCAGCCCCATGGAGGACAGGGGCTCCCCAGGGGTGCCCCGTTCCTGAGAGCCACCCCAGCCCAGGACCACAGGTGAGCTGGTGGAGGGCAGCAGCCAGGGTGGCCCTGCCATGGCCATGCCACGGCTTTGCAAACCCAGCTGGGCTCTGGGGGGGGAGGTTGTGGGGAGCAGCTTTGGTCCCCCAAGGGATGGAGGTGGGACCCCCAGGGCTGGCTGGATGCGAGGTGGGGGTCAGCCAGTTCTTCCCATCCATCCACCATCCCCAAGTTCCTTCATGCGTTCTCCTCCCTAACATGCCACTGCCTTCCTCCATCACCAAGGCCCTTCATCCTTCTCAGTGTGGCCACCTCCTCTCCTTCATCTTCCCCTCCATCGCCCAAATCTCCGTCTCCTCACAGGGCAAAGCTCCCCTCGGGCTGCCATAGCTTAGCCCAACGCTCCTACCCTTCCCTGGGGAGGTGGAGGGACAGAGACAACCCACCCGAGGGCAGAAGGAAACCCTCACCTCCCACCCTACTGAGAAAGGGGTTCACCTCAGAGCAGGGGGACGTGGTGGGCAGCGAGGGAAGCGCCTGACCCCACTGGCATCCCCAGGGAGGAGGCACCGGCGCCCAGGCAGCGCCGGCAGATCGTGCTTTGGCTGCTCTTGAAGCCGAAGAGAAAGATCGAAAAGAAATTAGGTCACGCTCCCCTTGTGCCGGGGCTTTGGCTGCAAAAAACCCACGTGGCGATTAGGGACAAGGGTCCTTCTGCAGGATGTTTTGCATAATTTCCCCTTGTTTTGCAATTTCTGAGAGCTTAGGCGAGAAGAAAAGCCCTGTTTTTCCCGTGCTCCAGCAGCAACCAGTCCCAGGCTCACCCCACGTCCCTCGGTGGCCGCTTGCTCCCCTCCGAAATCTGCTCTCTGAAGCTCCTGCCCGCTCCACCATGGTCCTCCAACCCCTGGTCCCATCCTCCCAGTAAGCAGGACATCAGCTCTGGGGCAGAGTCTGCCCTCGATGCTGCCCCACTCATTCATTTCATTGGTGCCTTTCCAATGCCCCCATAAATCCCCAGGGCCCGCAGCCTTGGCCAGTTGTGGGGCCACCCCAGGCTGGGGGTGGCCACCAACTCTCAGAGGGTCCGGTTTCTGCCCGTGGGGCAGAAGGATGGGTTCAAAGCTGGGCACAGCCATGGGGTTGGGAGTCAGGGCAGAGCTCCCATCCCTGCGGCAAAGGGCCAAGGGCAGCACGTGCCCCCCGATGCATGGCCCCGTGGCCACCTCCTGCCCCTTTCTGCTGGCAGACAGACACGTGGGTGATTTGCAGGACTCTCCACAGCATCCCAGGCCAGTCTGCAGGCACCATCCCAGGGGGATGTGCTTGCCATGGGCAAGGGATTGCCCAGCATCGCAGCCACAAAATGAGCAGGGCAGGGGCAGGCATCACCTCCCCAGCTCCATGGCCTTTCCCTGCAGTGCCTTCTATCTCCTGCTCTGGCAGAGAGCCCAAACTCTTGGCTCAGACCACGCTGTGGCTATGGTTGGTCCTTCCTTGAGAAAGCCCACGCTGGAGAGGCTGTGGCCAGGGACAGCCTTGCTGGGGACGTCAGCAAGGGGTAGGAACGGGCCTGGCAGTGACGTCTCCTCAGGGTGAACTGTTGTGAATCAGTAGTTTAAAGCACTGATTTGGGTGGTGACTAAGATGAGGAAGCAGGAAATCTGTTGAGATAAAGCTTGCCAAGTGTCATCTTCTTTTGCATTTTTATTTTTCAGTGGCTGTCCCCAAAGGAAGCTTGCTCAGGAATGGTTAAATCATGCTGCTGAGCACTGATTGTGCTCAGGCTTTGTCAGCTGTGCTCTCCTCTGAACAGCCCGGTACCAAACAGCTGCTCAGGCTTTTCCCTTCTGCCTCTCTTACACCAGATTATTATTTTTTTGTTATTTATTGGCTTTTTCGTATCTTAGTCGTTCATTGACCTGCGTCATGGGCATTGGCTTTGGTCACTGAACCCTGCAGCACCTATGGTCTGGTCAGGCTCAAGGCTTCATGCTCACTTGCACTCAGAGGTTAGAAAAGGAAAATAAATCTCCTGGTGCCTTGTGTCCTCAGCAGTGTCACGGCTTGGGGAGATGCAGCCACTGGGCTGGGACCAGTGTGACCAGCACAGTGTTCCCACCAGCAGAGCCAGCCCCGTGAGACCACCTCTGGCACCAGTGCCCGGAGGCTCAGGGTTTCATTCCGGTTGTTTTTTTCCCCTCCTGGTGCTGGGAAAACAGAGCAAGTTCTTCCTACTGTTAATGTTTGATCAGGACCTGCCTGTTGCTCTCTGAACTCATCCATGCAATAAAGCCCGCGCTGCCAGCAGCGGGAAGGAAGCTGCAGGGTGCTCGGTGTGAGCCCGAAGCTGTGGCTCAGCCCACAACTCAAACAGAGAGTATGGAGATGCGTGTGGCACCGAGGGTTTCAGTCCTGTGGCCGCCCGTCTGCCTGCTGATTCATTTATGATCATCTCTGTAAACTCAGGGATGTCTCTCCAGGCGAGGTTTTGAAGGGAGAGGATGGAATGCAACTCAGCTGACCCCGTGGATACACCCTACAGGATATTCGTGCCAACGGTGCTTGGCACAAGAAGCCATCAGGCTGCTCATCTCTGTGGCAAAGGCAAGAGGCAAACAAGAGGGGGATGATGAGGGAGTCAAGGGATGAAGGATGCTGCTTTCCGCCTTGTACCACCAACACCAGCATCCCATAAAAATGCATTGTCTCCCCGAGCCCCAAGTCCTCCTCCGTCCTGGCACCCTTCACCTCCTGGGTGAGCCCTGGACCAGCAGAAACTGGAGACACGCCAACTGTCTCTCAGTCAGATACGGCTTTAGGCTGCACCCTCATCTCTGCCAGCAGCACGGCAGAAGCTCCTACTCCCAGGTTACTCATCCAAGCATCCATCCTCGTCTGGTAGAAGCAGTCACTCCAAAATCACCTCTCCAGGGGTGGTGGTGGGCATGGAGGGGCCAAGGCTTGGGAAGCCTTCACTGGTCCTTTGCTGGACACCATGATGGTGGCAGAAGCTCCTTCTGCCCTCTAGAGGAGTGGGCTCTGAACTTTAGACATCCTGCGGGGTGAATGCCACCCTTTGACAACTCGCCTTCACACCTCAGCCCTGAGGCTTGGTTTTCCAGGAGGATGCAGGTCCCAGCTTTTGATCCTAACACTGTGCGAGGGGAAACGTCTGCCTTGTGAACTTGCACTGTCTTGGGCTGGGACTTGGCTCTGACACAGCTCCTCTCCGCAGGGCTTAGATCATCCCTCTCCTACGGAGAATACCCAGCAGCTGGAGGCCCCTCATCGTCCAGGGACGCTCTCTCCCAAAGGTTCCCTTAACAGCCCCCTAAGGATTTCTCCGGGCCATAATATTCCCCCAGACAAGCCTTTCTTCTCCTCCCGCCTTTCTTCTGTCAAGGAGCCCTCTGGGACGAGCAGCATTGTCAGGATGGTGCCAATTAGGCTGAGCTGGCTTCCAAGAGGCTGCGCTGGCACCGGCCGGGGGCTGCTGTTGCTCATAAAGGTCTCATTGTTCGGCGCGCCGTGGGGCTGCTGGCCGGCGGGGCCGGCGCGGTCCTCTGTCTCCAGGCACGCTTCCTGGCTCCACGCGGCGCTGGTGTCACTGCGCGCTGCTCAAAGGGATGATTAACGGGTGTCATTGCGGGGGCTGCGAAGGGGAGGATTTGTCAAGCCTCCCTCGGCTCCCCGCGAGGCCCAAACGCGCCAGCTGAGAAAAACCAGAGAACCATCAAAGTGGCCGGAGCTCCTGGAGGGGGGGGGGGGGGGG